CTGCCAGGGTCCTTCCCAATGTCACCTTGCAGGGCAGGGCCATGTTTGCTGCTGTGACCCTCCTTGTAATTGCACTCGTGCAACAGATCCGTTCCTGCTGTTTTCACCATTGGCCTCTCTAAGGAGAGCATCCCCAGCCTATCCCACAATCGCATTTCAGGTTTTAAGCAAACTCATTAAGCCAAACATAACACAGCTCTCAGTTATGGGGGCTGGCTGCTTCCTGAGCCCACAGCTGTCTGTACGAGTTTGCATAGCTTGGAGGGAAAGCAACCTGCAGCCACTGCTATAGAGAAGCAGCTTCTGCTGTAGGAACTGGAAGCCTTGGGTACCACACAGCATCCCCAGCCCTCCAGGAGGCATCGGTCCTGGCAGCAGGGCAGGCTGTGCCACCTGTCTGCTGTGTGCCATTTGTATTAACACTGGTGTTTGTGTCTTGCCATTAACCTCTCTGCATCTTGCTGGAAGCTGGGCAGTGTTCACCCTGCAGCCTTTCCGTGTTTGTCCAGTGCAACGTGGCTTCAGTGAGCCCCAAAAAGCCTCACAGAAACAGTGACAGAGTCTGAGCAGCATCTTCCTTGTGATCAAATAGGAAACAAAGGCAATGAGGACCCAAGAACAAATGGCTCAGTGTGATTTTTGTGGGCTTGTGCTGCTGGGTGTGAATTTACTTTAAAAAAAAATTGGAAGATACAGTTAAAAAAAAATTACTGTATTTGTTTGCAAGTTGCTCTGAAGTTTCACCAGGGACAAGCAGAGGGCTGTGGGGAGGCTCTATGCTTGCCCCAGGGCTGGGCCCTGCAGTGCCCATCAAAGGGCGCCCATCCCTGAGCACCTCTTGTACAGAAAATGCATCCTCACTGAGGATAAAAAGCAAGGACAAGCATACGCATGGCCAGCTGGTGCTAACCATGGAGCACAGGCATAGGACAGGAGGGAGTGGCTGTTGCTTTGATGCAATGCTGAGACTGCTCCTCTTTTCCCTGAAGCGATGTTGCAGTGAGAGACAGAAGTGCTGCAGGAAGCACCGAGAGACAAAATGAGCCTTCCTAAAACCCTCCTCATGGAAACACCAACAGCCCATCCTCACAACAGCCTTGCACAGCATTGCCTTCTTGCAGAGGAAAGTCCCCAAGTCCCTGCAGGATGGCCACTTCTGCTTCCAAGCATAGATAGAGCTGGCAAGGCAGAACGCACTGCTGTGAGGCTGGAGTGAGGGCAGAGCCGTGCAGCAGCATCCCTTGCAAGTCCCATCCATCCATCCTACAACCCTTCAACTCCTTACCTCATCCATTCATCCCGTACCCCATCCATCCGTCCCACACACCATCCATCCTGTACCTCATCCATCCATCCCATGCCTGCCCCATCTATTCTGCACTGCATCCATCCACCCCGCGCCCCATTTATCCATCCACCCCATCGCCCATCCACTCGCCCTGGTGCCCATCCATCCTTCCATCCTGTACACACCATTCTGTATCTCATCCGCCTCATGCCTGCCCCATCAACCTTCCTGCCCGTCCACCCATCCATCTCACACCCCATCCATCCTCCATCCCCCCCATCCATCCGCTGCCTCTCCTCGGTGCACACCTCAGCACAGCTGTGCGCTCAACCTGCAACCTCACACCCGGCTCAATTGTGTACTAGCAGCAAACAATTTCAGCTAAGCAATAAAAATAAACCTTGTAAACGTAAAAAAATAACAATAATAATAAAACCAACCCACCCACCTCCTATTTCTTGCACTAAGACCTGTTTTATTGAAGAGAATAACGTCGAGTTTCTGGTCCCAGCACAACGCCCTGCTGCACCAGCGGCTCCCCCTGCCCAGCATCACCTGTCTCTGTGCCCTTTGCAAGCAGGCATTGGGCTTTGGTTGTCCAACATGATCCAAACCCTGTGTCAAACCCTCAACACCAACTTCTTCCTTTGCAGTACAGCGTTCTGTGTGTTCGTTTCTTCCTCTCTCATGGGAAGGAAAAAATATCGGACTGTTTTGTTTCCCTTTAATTTGTAAATATCTCTCCATCCGTCCTCTCTGTAAAACCACCTGGTTGGTCTAAATATTCTATGTATTTATTTGCCTTTTTTTTTTCTTAGAGCAAAAAAAAAATCAACACCTTTGCGTTAACCCACTTGTTTCAATGAGAAATGTGTATCTGAAGCTGTGAAATTAACACTTTACAGCAAGAAGAGCTACGGACTGCAGAAGAAGTGTTTAATATAAGGACTTATAAACTGACTGCATGAGAGATGAAAGAAAGCCAAAATACTCAGATAGCATTTTTTTTGAATCACTGTAAAAAAAAAAAAAAGAAAAAGACTGGGATTTTTTGTATAGAGAACACTAAACATATAATAAAACATTGTTCAAAACTCAGGCAATGCTTGCCCTTCCTGTCCATCACCTTTTTAGCCACTGAGGCTGTCCCCTTCCCATCCACGTCCACAGCCCTTCCCAGCAAAAAGCACAGCCCAGAAGCTGTGATGGGACACAGCAGGGCAGGTTGGTGGTGGAGGAGCTGGGGAAGGGAGGAGGCTCAGCAGCACTTCACCCCAAACCATCCATAGGAGAAGCATTTCCCACCCCACACGGCCCTGCAGGGGGACTCTGCAATCTCAATGAAGCCGCGGCTCAAAGCAGCAGCACCAGACCTGCATCTGCTCTGAGCACATCAGGAGAGCTTCTGGTACAGGGGAGCAGAGCAGAGCCCTGAGGATGCAGCACCCATCTGCACTGTGCCCGACTCCTGGGGCAGCGCCTATCAGCCAAGGGAGCGATGTGACCACTGTGCAATTTAACTTCTTTCAGCCCAGCCTGCCTAACACCGTCCTGCCATCCTCACACGAGGAGAAGCACTCAGAGAGCAGCAGCACCAGCTCCGATGTTCATGGGAGCACAGAGCCCTCACCAACCACCTTGGAAGCCTCAGTGCAGACAGCAGCACCCTTCCCAGCTGGGGAAACTGAGGCACAAGCTGTTGCTCCACACAGGCGGCTCAGCAGTGCCCAGGGCACGAATGATGCTGCTTGGCATCCAGCACTGACACAACACCAACAGCCTCGCAGAGCACAGAGAAGCTGGAGCAGGAAGCATCCATGGCCCAACAGACTCATTGGAGAGACAAGGTTTAACCCAGGTGCCCCCAACCCCACAGCTCCCGGCAGAGCCCTGCATTTCCCATCCCTACTCAAGGCTCTGAAGTGCTCTTTGCTCCCTTGTGCAAAGCCTTGACGAGAATGGGCTGGAGGAAGGGGGGAAAAACACAAAGCTATTTGGCTAATGAAGATGTAATTGCTGCAGACCTCACTAAGAGGATGAAAGTATTACTGCAGTGCTGCAGGGGGGGCTTCGTCCACCCCCTCCCCATCGATAGGACAGCAGTGGGGAACAAAAGCACCTTAACTTTGGGCAGGAGAAGTCCCAGAGTGTTTGGGGCAATGGGGGCAGCAGCCATCCCAATCCCTACCCCAAAGTTCTATGGGATTCGGAAGGATGGGGCAGGAATGGCACTGAGCATTGCAGTCCTGGCACAGGACCAGCAAGCATCAAGGCAGAGCAGGATTCTTCTGAACCAGGTGGGCTCAACCAGGAAACCTTAAAAGTACTCCTTTATCCACTCTATTTGATAGATGCTTGTTATTCCCATCACTCCTGTAGGGAAAATCAAGTTATTGCCCAGAAATGAGTGATAGAAGCCCCATCCCCGTGATCAATACCAGGTTGATATGCATGCATTAGTGCTCAGCCCTTTTTATGGCACCTCACAACACCCACTTCTCCCCTGACCTCAGTGGGGTGCAGATCGATGCTGACAGCCCTGAGTTCCCCCAGAGGGGCGATTCCACCTCCAGCACATTCCCCCATTACTGTCACTAAAAGCTCCAGCAGCACTGGGAAATGGCCATGGGAGCCCTTATGGAGCTGCCTCCTCCCCCAGCTGCTACAAGACGGAGCCTCAAAGGGTCACTGATACCCCAGATCCAACCCTTGGGAGCTGTGGGAGCAGAGATGTGAAGGAGAGGGGCAGAGGATGGGCAAAAGACCTCTGCTCTGCCCGGAGGTGACAGCAGGAAGGGCTGCAGTCAATTCCTCCTGGTCTCACCCCAGAAGAGCTGCCAAGAGCAAAGAAAGGGACAAGAGAAGGACAGGTGGAACCCATTCTGTCTGGCCAGAGGAACGCAGACCGCTGGAGCTTTGCCAATCAATAGAGATACCGATGCCTTAATTACTCCTCTGTAATTGCAGGCCATTAACCTGCGGACAGCCCAAGTGCCATTGATCTCCCTCCATCATTAACTGGTCTGGGAAAGAGGGGAAGCACAGGGCGACCGCTGCTCCCACTGCTCTGCTCCTGCTTTACCCCTCAGCCAAGCCCAGACTGGGAGCTGCTGGCACCTTGACTGGCTCAGAGTGTCACTTGGGAGCTCCTGGATTGTCCCTGTCACATCCCATAGCATCACCCTCCTGGTCAGATCCCCCCCACAACGTGTGCTTCAGGTCCTACCTATGCCAGCCGCACTTGTCTCAACAGAACTTCCCAAAACGCTGCTGTAAAGCAATTTCTGCAGCCTGCTCATAAACCCAGTTATGTACACCTACAGTTACACACATATTTTCAGGCACGGGGGAGTGCATACATATATAGAAACACTGCACAGGAGTGGGTGTCCCTGGTGAAGCCCAGCAGCTGGGGCTGCTCCCACCCCACAGAGCAGGGATTTTGCCCCCCGGCCCCACACCTGCTCCAACCCCATAGGGACGGGGTTTCGGAGCTCCTGAAGGAACCGGGTGGGCGCAGCAGCCCGGAGGCTGAGACATGCATTATGCATCATGCTGCAAGCGGCTCTGACTGGTCCTTGCACTGTGGCAAGTGAGGTAAAGGCAGAGGGAAGAAAAAAAAGAAAAGAAAAATCCCCTCTCCAGGGACCGGCGTGGTGGTTGGCAGCGAGCGAGGGAGCGCGCACGCAAAGAGGGAGGAGAGGGAGGAGCACATCCTAATGCAGAGATGCTGCAGTGGCTCTGGGCACACACATCCCCACTCGGGCAGGCATCAGTCGGGCTCAGCACCGCGGCAGGAGCTCCGCGGCCCCGCACTCCCCCGCCTCATGCTCAGCCCCCGACCCCATCCCAGGTAAGCGCCTGCTCTCTCTCCTTCCCGCACCGTAACGGAGGGGGGGAGGGAGGAAAAAAAAAGAAGGAAAAAAAAAAAAAAAAAAAAGATGAGGCTGCAGATTTCGGAGCACCGTTTCCAGCACAGGCAACTCTGCTTTATAGGGAGAAGCAGCCGAATCCTGCGGGGTCGGGGACGCAAGGGCACGGCGTGGGTTTGTGCACTGCTTGGGGCGATGGTTCTGCGGGCACAACTCAGCTCTGCTGGGAATGGAGTTGGGAGGAATGGGGGCACAGCCCCTTGTGGCAGGGGATGGGCACGGCCGTAAGCAGAAAGGGCTCTTAGGGATCAAGTCGGAACTTATTTGTTGCTAATTGCTACGGTTACGCCTCGGCTTTGCATCTTGGCTGGCGGCACTTTGCAAAGCCCGAACGTGGAGGGGTGGGGGCTGCCGAGATCCGGCTGCACGGCGCTGCTCAGCACCCCCGGCTCGGGAGGGCAGAACCCAGGTTCCCCCTCAAAAAGGGAGAAGGAGAGCAGTGCCCTGTGACCCCCATCTCCCTCCAAACTCTCAGTTGCTCTGGGCAGGGTGGGAGGGCTGCTCTGGGGGTATTGCTGTGTTGGAGACTGGTCAGCGTTTTGCAACAGGAAGGTGTGTATGTGCGGGGTGGGGGTTCTTGATGCAATATAACAGACAGAACCCTGTGCTTGGCTTTGCTCTTTCTGGGTGCTCGGGTGGGGAGCAGCTGGCAGCGCTGGGCTGCTCTGTGGAGCTCCTCTCCCTCACCGTAAACTTCCTGAGCTCTCCTCCCTTCTGCATCTCACCCACCCGCTCCTCCAAGGCTCTCACCGCTCCCGCAGCCCCAGCATTATTGTTTCAACCGGGCTGGGGGCATTCATGAGATTGCCATCCCTCCGAAGGAACACCAGTTGCTTTGAGGGTGGGAGGCAGCAGCCTGAGAGCTGGGTACAACCCGAGAGTTCCTGGAGGTTTTGGCCAGAGCCCAGTGCAGCTCTGCCTCCCCTATGCATGCCCTCAAGCATCTCAGGGCGCAAAGCAGAGGCACAAGGTTTAGGGGCAGGTATGCATGTATAGATAAACCTCTCAGTGCTGAGTATTTGGCAGCACTCCACGCAAAACAGTCTTCTCTGACCTCTCAACATAGCCAGAAATACACCTCCTACCCTCCAGGACAGCTTGGGGTCTGCAGGGCAAGGGGAAACCACAGTGCTGGGTGGGACCGTAAGGAAAGCAGTAGTTGGTTCTGCTCTTGGGATCTGAACGCACCCACAACACCAAAAGCTGCTTTGCTGAGCCAACACAGCTCCCAAACTTCCTAGAAATAAGCATACTTGGTACGGACAGGTGAGAAGGGTCTGCAGCTAAGGGAAGGTGCCGGGGTTACGTTCAGCCCACGGAGCGCAGTGACGATGCGTTGAGACAAAGGAACCATAACGCTCCTCTCCAGCACCCAATCAATTATGATCCAACTGAGTAACCACGACTTTTGTCGCTCGGAATGGATGCGCAGAGCGTTTAACAGGCTGTGCCTCTGCAGACGCATCGCACGCAAATCACAGCAGCAGCACAGCGGGGCTGTAGGGAGGCATTTCCAACACGCGAGCACAGAACGTAGCATGCAGAGCCCACGTGCACAGCCCATAGCCTGGCTGCTCAGCCTCAAACTGGCCATGAAAGATCACCGAGCCTGGATGAGGGATGGATATGCTCCTTCCCTTCTTTAGCAGACCCCCAAGTCCATGCCACTTCATAGGTTTGCGAGGAGCGTGCCCAAAGCGCATCCCCATCTTTAGGATACGCATGAGAATCACCGTGCTGGCTGCTCAGCCATGCCCTGCTTGGAACAAGGATGGTTTTGTTCCATCTCATGGGCTCAGGCGTGGCACAGCACTGCTGTCATCTCCCCACACAGCTGGAGGCACATCTGTCCCTCCTGAGCTTGCAGCCTGCCCTATAGACCAGCGCGCCATGCAAGAAACCCAGCATTTCTTCAGGGGCTGTCAGAGATGGCATTAAAGCACAGACACATGGGAAGAGATGCCACTCCCTTCCCTGGGGCAGGTTTCCCAAGCCCTGTGCTTGCTTTGCCTTGCTATAGCCTCTGTAGGAGCCCCAGTGATGTAGGAGCAGGCAGACAGACACGGTGGCAGGTAGGAGCTATTTATACCTGTGACACATCAAAGAGCTGCGCCACTGAGAGCAGCCCCGACTGCAGAAAGTAGGAGAGTTTGAGAGGCTGAGGTTCCCCACGGGCACACTGTGATGGGAGAGGAGAATCTGTTTTAGAGATGATGTCTTTTGGGCAGGCAATCGCAGCACGCACATCTCACCTCTCCTGTCTGCACCAACAGCCAGCTTTTAGCATCTTTCAGCTTCTCCTTCAATGCAACCCCAGTGCACCATCCTGCTTTTCCCAGACAGCACTGCAGGTGATGCTCAGTGGTTTGCAATACTGAATTTACATGGGGTTGTCTGTCAGCAGCATCAGATATTTTGATCTTGAGCAGATGTAATCAGGGTGTTAACGAGGATTTCAGGCAGACATCTCTCCAACACCTGCATGCTAAGCTGGAGGCACTCATGGCCTTGTTCTCAAAGACTTTGAGCATTCTTCCAGCTGCCGCTGACTCCAGCTATTGATTGAAACAGCCTTCAGGGAGAACTGCGTGCTGACAACATGGGCTGAGCACCATGCTTGCATCCAGCTTATGGGGAAATCCTGCCTGATTCCCTCCTCCACAATCCTGGCTTTTGTCTGAAGCCGGTACAGGGAGCTTTACAGGGGGCTGCTCTGCTCCACAACATCATCTGCTTTATTATAATCAAGGTTATATCACACACCAACAACTCCATCTCACACACACTGCTCTCAATCAACTCCTCCCGACCCAAAGCAGATCCATGCTTTGTCCTCTGCACAAAGACCTGACAGGCTGTGCACCAGCACCGGGGTTTGCTTGGCTGGGGAGATCTTGCTGACTAAAAGAGAACTAAAAGAGAACTCCCACTGAGCCCCTCTCACAGTGAAGTGCCACGACCTGTGATGTACATTAATGTGTTGTCCAATTATTAGGGGAAAAAAAGCACTTAAAAGACACAGAGACAACAGAGACAGCTTGAGCACGGCGCCTTAATGCAGCCATCCTGCTGGGTGCGCATCAACAAGCCCTGCCTGCTCCTTGCACAGGGCTCCATGAGCCTCTCCTCGTGGAATTAATAAAGCTGCCCAGTGTGAGCAGGAGCTGTATGGGACACTGAGGCAGCACAACCCTCACCAACCCACTTCTGGCACAATTAAATCAATCCATGATAAATAAGGCACAACCCAAGGGCAGGTGCAGGGTGAGTGCACCCATCCCAGGTGAGGAACACATTCACCACACATATTGCTTTAGGCACCATCACTCACACCTGAGGTTCTTTCCTCCTCCCATTTCACAGCCCGAATCCTACAGCATCAGCCCAAAAATAAGGGTTTGGGCTTTCCAGAGCCCTGCTCTGCAAGGGGAGCAGCATCTATCCGGATGCTCATGTCAGGGAAAGCACATTAGTTTCCATGGATATGGTGATTCAGAATTACTCCAGATGTAGATGAGTTCAGAGTGCACTGCTCAGAGACGTGCAGCATTGCTGCACCAGGTGGGAAGCGCAGCTCCCACGGAGCAAAAAGAAACAGGAACAAAACCAAAACTCACCCCCAAGTTTTGGAAGTGCCACCCTCTGTGGATCCAGCAAACATGATCAACTCTTCCCTCAGCTGCAAGCAAAGCTGGTTTGCTTGGTGCATTACTATAGGTTAGGATTTTATTGCTTGACTTCATTTCCAAAAGCATAAGGGCAGGGACACAGAGGCCATGGCAGGGGTTAGGAGCACAGCACAACAACTCGCAGCACATCCCAGATCAGCAGCAAACAACTGAAAATCCCCCACACCCCCTATTCCCACCAGAGCCCTACCATGCTGCAGCCCCCCATCTCCTCCCTCAAGAGCCCAAATGCCCCCCTCCAACGATTACTTGATCATCTTTCCCCTCTTACCTCCTTCTAGCAGGTTCTCCCTTCTCTGCACTGAACCACGAGGGCAGAGCTCAGCCCTGCAGGCAATTTAACTAATGAGGGCTGATTGCAATTGCTCACACCTGGGGCATGGGGCTGACCTGGAGGCTTTGGGGGGCCTTAGGAGCAACATGGCCTGAAGAGTGCCCTACTCTTTTGTGTGGTGGCTCTGCTCCCATCCTAGTGCTGAGTTCCTGTGCCCCCCCATCACCCCTCTCCCCCCGTGCTGTGCTGCTGATCGCTGCAGCCATGCCCAGAGCTGTTTCCCTCACCTCCCTGCCTGCAGTGCTGGTGCAGAGCCCTGACTGAGTCCAGACTCAAAGCACCCAAATGCCTCAGTCTGCTCCACCTGCTGCCTACAAATGCCACCTTCACCCCAGCCCCAAAGCTTTGCCTTTTGTGCTTACACTGCAGCCCATCGAGCAGTAACAACGTTGGGCATGAACAGTCCCTGCTCTGCAGGTTGCAGCTCGGTGCCCTGCAGGGTGCTGTGGGCACCATCTGCTCCCCACAGCCCAGGCATGGAGCCCAGTGTGGAGATGCACCCACTGTGCATCTCTATGAGGAGGGCAGGGCAGAATGGAGCCAGGAGGCAAAGCACATCCCAGCACCCCTCTGCAGCACAGAGCAGGTGGGAGCAGGGAGTCCTGGAGGTGCAGGAATGATTCAAGGCTCTGCATGGGGTGATTGATGAGCCCAGGGAGAGCTGAGCCCCTCTGGGTGTGTGTTGGCCGTTGGATCACAGTGGTTTCAATGCTCAGTGTTGCTTTTAGGTGGTGTCAGGGTTTTGGTTGCCCCACTGCTGCTGTAGATCCTGGGGCCACCGGCGGATTCCCAACTCAAAGAAGCTCAGGAAGGGCAGAACTGAGAGTTTGCATCTCTCCTGAGCGCAGACAGCTCTGCAAAAGGACAGACACATTACTATAAAATCTCTTTCAACTCACTGAGACATGCTGTTCTGGAAGTGGACAAAACGTACCTGACACTGAGCAGATTTGCAAGAAAAATCTGCCAAAGATCAGATGTGTGCGTGTTCCAGCCTCAGAAATGCTCCTTAATGAAAGGAACACACGGCACAGGGCACACTGTGTCATCCACCCTCAGCAGCTCTCCTTCAGTGGAGGATGTTGCAGCAGAAACCCAATTGCTTGTCTCATAACTAACCCCGGAGGACTGAATCACAGTCACTGATCTATGATAGGGTGTGCTGGCTATGACAGCTCTCCCTGCTGCCCAAGTCCCACCATGAGCTGGGAGATGGCAGGGCCAGCATGGTGCCATTGGTCCCCTGCCCTGTGCCACAGCTGCCTGGATTCGGAGCCCACCATCCATTCCTTGTCCTCCCACTGCTCTTCAGCCCTCCTGGGGCCATCACCTCCCAGTGCTGCTGTCCTGGGATGAGGCAGCACCTCCTGTCCCCGAGGCTGAGGAGGATCCCAAACCTTTCCATAGCTCTTTTCCAAGAACTCTGTCTTGGTGACAATGGACCTCTCTCTGCTCCCAGGGGCTCCTGCACAGCGCTAATGCAACCCATGTGCGTGTCTCCAAGTGTGCCCGTGCTGCTGGAGGTATTAATGACAGCATCCATTAGCGGGGATGACAGATCCCCTTTCAGTACAACAGAAGGCTCTCGAGTGACTGTCAAAATACCCCATGAAGAGGGGAAAGAACAGCTCCCCGAGGGCTCTCTCCTAATGAAGGGCACGACCAGCAGATCGGATGCACAGTGCGTGGCTGTGCCTGGGAGAAGTTCGAAGTCAGGTGCAGAAAACACAGCTCAGGGCACTGCCTGGGGGTGATCCGTGGTGCAGGGAACTGGGGGAGCAGCACAGCCCCCAAGTGTGCTCTCAGCATCACTGGATCCCATCTCTTAAGTAATACAACAACAAGGAGCGTGCCAAGCAGTATGGGAGAGGGTGATGCGGTCCAGTCCTTAACAGTGAACAAATCCAACTTCAGTGCATGTAGGAATTACTCTGTTATTCTCTTACATGTGGGCCATGCCTGGAGGTTCCCCTGGTAGCACTTTCCCCGTTTCTGCAGAGGATTTCAAGTGCAGCCCGTGCTGAAGTTGGGCTCTAGAGAACAAATGGAGCAGCTCTCCCTGTCACCTCTTTAGGAGCCCTGTCCTGATGTCCCAGCACAGCCATGGGGAGGGACTTAGGAGACACAGGAGCAGTGGGTGCTAGGAAGCAAGGAAAGAAAATGATGTGTGCATCCAAAATGAGAGCAGAGTGGGGTCTGGGATGAAAGAGGCGAGCTGCAGAGCCAGCTGCAGAGCTGGGGATCAAAGCTGTGGTTTACATAATAAATAATGAATTGATAACTAATTGAATAATTCAAACTAGCTTAATTTTTGCAAGTAACAGCTTTGCTGAGCCGTGGGGAAGGAACGGAAGGGGCTGGGCAGCAGGGCATGCTGCACTCCCTCCCTGTGATCTCTGAGCTGCTTTGGGGTGACGCACCCACAGATGCGAGATGTGCTCTGCTCCTACTCCAACACAGAACTGCGTTCAAAAACAGACCGAGCAAAAAGCTGCTCCTTGTCCTAAAGTGCTTACGCTGGAAGCATGAGACACATGAGGGAGAAGCAGGCAGCGGGTGAACAATGAGGCAGTGTTTGCTGGAAGGCCGTGGATTCAGGACGCTGTTTGGGGCACGATGCTGATTGACATCGAGTGACTTCATCGGCCTGACTCACCCCGGAGCTGCTGGATGGAACACACGGCATGAGACAGCCTGAGGGAGAGGACCTCATGCCCATCTCTGTTCTGTCCTCATACTGTCCGTCTCTGTCACCCTGTGAGCATCACTGCTTTAGGGCAGGTCCTCCTCCCCCACCTCTGCCATATTATTTACCCCTCTGCCGTAGGAGCGTTTAACCTGAGAGTCAGGCTGGGCTCTGCTCTCAGTGCCGTGTGGGGAGGCTGGCATCCAAGCCCCTGAGCCCACCAAGGTGAAAACAAGGACCTGGGATGTGGTTTCTTCCCTTTGGAGTAGGAAAACGTTCTGTTTCGGGTGAGGACGCAGAGGGCAGGTGGCTTTCCCAGCCCCAGATTCCCCAGGGACGAGACTTGAAGCACACACAGGACGATCCCTGTTTGCTCAGGTGCACGATAACGGCGGCACTTAATGAGCAGGCGCTGTGCATTCCGAGCTGCAATGCACCGGGGGCTGCGGTGCATGGAATGGAGCCGGTGTTCACTGGGGCAGCCAGATGGGCAGGGAATGAGGGACCAGCTGGGGCTGGGGGGGCTGCAGGGCTTGGCAGAGCCTTCAGTGTGTGGGATGCGTTGTTTCCCAAGTCGTTGTTAACGAAGAGGGGGAAGGAAAACAAAATTGGGCGTCCTCCTTGGATATCTCCAGGGCAAAGGGGTTGGAGCTGAGCAGTAGGATGCCCACACACAGCCACTGCCTGTTAGGAGAGAGCTGTTTTCGGAGGAGGGAAGAAGAAGAGTTGGCGGTATGGGGAGGAGAGGGAGATGGAAAATGAGGAGAAGGGTAAGGGAAAAAGGAAGAATGGATGGAGAAATGGGAGGATGGGAAAGGAAAAAAGAAAGGGGAAAGGGAAAGGCGAAAGGGGAAAGGGGATAGGGAAAAGGAAAGGGAAAGGGGAAGGGGAAGGGGAAAAGGGAAAGGAAAAAGAGAGAAGAAAAAAGGGAAAGGAGAAAAGGAGAAAGAGAAAAGGGAAAAGGGGAAAAGAGAAGAGCTCCTTCAGATCTCTGCATATTTCTCACTGGCTGTTCCCACAGACACCTCCTGGTGCTCACAGGGACATGAGCTGCCCTGGTGCCTCGTGGAGCAGCAGGTAAGTGCAGTGCTTCTCTTGCAGGGCCGCTGTCCCCACTCAGCCATAGAGCCACGGCCATAAAATCTGGAGCACAGGATGGGAGGCACCGCTGGATTCATCTGCACCTCCCTGGCCGTCATCATCTGTGTGGGTAAGAGCCTGAAGCTGTTCTTGGAATGGATGCCTTTCTGCTATGCCCCAGCTGCAAAGATTCCCCCATTTGCCACCCATTGGGGATCGCTGCTGGATCTCAGGGAGTGTCAGGCTACACACTGAGGGCCCCTTTTCAGCAGGGAGATGTTTCATATCAGGCAGTTGAGAATTAGACGATGTCTTCAAGCTAATTCATCATCCCAAGAAGAGGCTGCTTGGCCGCCTTATAAATATCTAATTACCTTTTAGTGTTCTGTGGGTCCCAGGAGAGGAAGAGGGGAGGGGTGGCTGCCCTAGATTGGGAGGCAATTAGCCTGTTTGGAAATCACTCTGACCCAAATCTGGTAGAGGTCCCAGGACGATGCTGGGCTCTCCCATTAACCAGCTGAGTTCGTCCAACTCATTCCCATCCAAGATGAGCCCATAACAAATGAGTCAATACCGAACCCTACGAGGGTTATTTTCTCCTGACCTCTGGCTGCTGATGCAATGGATCTCAGAAGCCATCTGGGACAGAGAGAAACCCTCACTGGAAATATGAGCCAGGAGCAGGGACCAAATGATGGCAGCTCCAGATAAGGCTGAAGGAAACACTCTGGGGAGGGGTGAAGACGGACCCGACGGCTCCAGGTCTGGAGTTTGGGTTGGTAACATCACCCCTCCCTCTGACATATCACCAAGCAGCGAGTTCCCAAGGACGTGAGAAATGACCACTTTGATTGCGTTCCTATGAAACCAATTAATTGCTCACGTGCCAGGCTCAGGCTGCGGCTCCGGAGTTGACGATGCGCTGCCGGTGCTCAGGGACGGGATGCTGCTGATGCACTCATCACCTGCAATACATCTTGGCAAACGTTCAGCTGAGACATCCATGATTTCCTGCTCTCCAAATCTGGAGTGTGGCTCAGCACAGCCCCTGGACATCGGGGCTTTCCACCTCTGGCTACCAGCACGTTCCAGGTGCTGGCAATAAGAACCACTCTTTGAGTTCTATTCCTGCAATTTCTGGTCTAAGGTCTGGGATGGTTTTTACACTCAAAGATTACGGCCTTGCTGCTGTATTTCATTATACAGTATTTTTCTCTCCCAGACATCAGCACAAATCACTCTCGGAGCGCCGAAATGTTCAAACATTTCTGCAGCTATTTCTCCGTACCTTAATGTTCCCATTTCCCATTTCCACCTTTCCCTATTTATTTTGGTGTTAAGACTGATTTTTCTTCAAAACAAATGTTGTTCCAGCCAGACACAGCAGCACATCGAGACTAATTTCTGCTCCTAGCTGGGTTTCAGCGCAGAAGTAGGGCTGCATATGGCATGCTGAGCTCTGAAGGGATCCCTCTGCCTCGTGCACACGCAGCTTGCAGGCTCAAAGATGTTATTTTGTGTTTGCCTTCTCCCCACTGCCCGAATGACAGAGCCCTGGGAAGGTCTTGCAGTGGTAACATTACGAAGGAGAGTTCTGTGGTGACAGCAACAGCTGAGATGATCGCTCTCGGAGGTGCTCAGATCTGCTGTTCTGCTTTGATCTCAGTTCTCAGCTCTAACCGCCATCAGAACTCGTAACAGTTCAATTATCGCTTTAATCTAACGGCCGTTTCGCTTAATGAGCGAGATGCAGGATTTCACCTCCAACACCAACCGGACACCTTGGAACTGTACATAAAATCTGTCTGAACTTCTGGCATTGATTGCATATGAGAAAATCGATGCCTGACAGTGGGAGCCCATAACCTTGGCAGAGAAAAAGGGACAGAGGAGGATGCTGGGCTCCAGGTGGGATGGGAGGGATGATTGGCCAAACCTCATTGGGGAAGAGCTCCCATGAGAACAGGCATGTATGGGACAGACTGTAATACAGCATTTGTTAAATAATCAGAAGTTATTTACCATGTGCTACCTATTAACCTCTGAATGCAAATCTGTTCATCCTTAATCCATTGACTGCCGTCGCTCAGAACACAACGAATACACCACGTCCTTCTTAATTCTCCATTAACTCGTGATTATGTTAAGTGCTGGCCAGCAAGGAGCTATTTCCAGCTGAGAGCAGCACAGCAGAAGCAGAACCAATGGAGGCGATTTCTAGCAGAGAGAATCTTCTCCTTGGTGAATATAACTATCCCAGAAGGGAGACATAAAGCACTTCCACAGATCTGGAGGCAATAAGACCTTTGCAAAACTGCTTCTCTCGCTCCAGAGCATCAGGGACAGGCACGGAGCAGAGCCCCAGCTAATTGGGCAGAGCCTGGATGTGAGGAGCAGACATGGGGAGCAAACAGCTGCTCCGAGCCCGCAGAGACAATTAGTGCAGCCCCTCTCTCGTTTCACCCTGGTCTCCACATGCCGTGAACACGAGGGGAACCCCGGGAGCTGCAGGTGAAGAGCTGCTTTCCCTCAGCCTGGAGATCCGATCCCTGCTGGAAGTTACTCTTGCATAAAACATCACACTTACAGGAGTCACTTCATTTAACCGGTGACCATGCTGCGTTGTGCAGGGAAGGAAGCAGATTGCAGGTTGGCATGGAGGTTTTAAGACGGTTATTAATTCAATTACAAAGCATGGAAGGATGCTGGGGGCAGCTAGGCATCTCCTCACTTAACACTGCAGAGAAGGGGGTGCTGCCTCGTGTCCCATTCCTGCTAAGGGGCATGGCTCCAGGTGCCAGGGATGTGTGCTGGCAGTGATTACCCTGCTGTCTGCTTTTGGGTTAGAGGTTTCCAGGCAGCTTTCTGCTTTGTTCTTGCCTATTTGCATTGCAATTTCTAGTGTCTGCAGCGTTGGTTTGCACCCAGCTGCAAGCAGCAGGCGTGACTCAAAGAGAGAGCTGAGGATGCTGCAGCTGCAGGGATGGAGGGAGCAGCCAGGTGTGTGCAGGAGGTCAGTGCAGAGCTGAGATCTAGCTGTGAACACCCAGGCTGTGCTCTCCATCTTTGTCCTCAATAGGACATTGGAAGAACAAAGCAGCAGCATCGGTACAGAGACAGAAGCATGTCCTCACTTCCAGGATGCTGAGAGCACCCCGACATTCCCAGCTCCCACCCCATCTGTGCTTCACAAGAGGTTGTGCCAGGGCTCCTTCGCGTGCCCATCTCTAAGCACGTCTGCTCCTGTGGCACAGCAGAGTCGGTGCGAGATGCTCAGCAGGGAATGCACACAATCTGCCCGCAGCCCTGCTTGGGGCTGGGCGACAGATGGGCTGCTATTCTCACATTGCTCCTCGTTTAATTCCAGATATAGCTCTGTCACCGCCAGGGACACCCTACAAAACCAAAAAAAAAAAAGAAGAATTTTTAGAAAATGCCACATTTTGCTAAGCAGGTTTTCCCCTCTCTTGCAGTCTGGTGCCAAGCACAGAGTGGCACAAGGAGCTACGGGCCGGTGTTTGAGGAGCAGCCCGCACACACCCTGTTCCCTGAAGGCTCAGCAGAAGAGAAAGTGACACTGATGTGCCGAGCCAGAGCCAATCCCCCTGCAACGTACAGGTGAGCCAAACACCACGAGAATGGGACGCCAGAACGTGGGTCTATGTGGCACCATCTACGAGAGCACACAGCCTCAATACATATTCTCCCTTCCCACTTCTTGGCAGGTGGAAGATGAACGGCACAGAGCTGAAGATGGGGCCGGATTCCCGGTATAGGTTGGTTGCTGGCGACCTGGTGATAAGCAACCCAGTGAAAGCCAAGGATGCAGGCTCCTACCAGTGCGTGGCAACCAACGCCCGTGGCACAGTGGTCAGCAGGGAAGCATCACTCCGCTTTGGCTGTAAGTCTTTTCTTGGTCTGCATAAAGCAAACAAAATGCAGCCACAGTAAACCAAGCCCTCTAGCCTCATAAATAAACAGAAACTAGGGGAGAAGTTGTGGACGCAGTGCAGGAATCCCATTGGCGTGTTGGTGCAGCAGCAGTTCGATGCACAGCATTGTCAGTGCTCAGATACAGGGTCAGATATTTCTGTATTTCTCTGCAAAGCCACTGGAAATGATTGGTGACAGGTGGACGGTTGGACTGGACGATCTCGTAGGTCTTTTCCAACCTTGGTGATTCTATGATTCCATGGAAAACCACCCCACGGAGGGGCAGATTGCCACAGCAGCTCCTCCAGCTGCTCATGGGCGAGTTTCACTGCGTGTCTTTAGTTTTGCAGGAATTCTCTGCAGAAGAACGAGAACCCGTGAAGATCGCTGAAGGCTGGGGAGTGATGTTCACCTGCAGCCCCCCTCCCCATTACCCAGGTAAGGGTTCCCATCCCCCAGCAGCAGGAGGTGGAGGCAATGCTCAGCCACACGCAGCACTTCTTGATTTGCTGTGGGAACGCCAGGGGAGCAAACCTGGTATGAATTCACTCTGAAAAGCACCAAAGCAGAGGCATAACTTTGCACGTGGAGAAAATAAGTGCCATCCGAGGAACAATTTAAGCTTTGACAGGTCCAGAAAATGACCCGCTTGCTTAAATCCCAGCTGAGGCCGCCAGCAATCTGCGCGGTTCATTCCTTCTCCTGCTCCCCACAGGCTTGTCCTACCGATGGCTTCTGAACGAGTTTCCCAACTTCATCCCAGCCGACGGGAGGCGTTTCGTCTCTCAGAGCACAGGAAACCTCTACATTGCCAAGACAGAGGCTTCCGACCTCGGCAACTACTCTTGCTTTGCCACCAGCCACATCGACTTCATCACCAAGAGCGTTTTCAGCAAGTTCTCCCAGCTCAGCCTGGCTGCCGAGGGTCGGTGCTCTTCAATTATCATAAAGGGACTGGGGAAAATGCAAAATTAACAAAGCACAAGGGCTCCTGAAGGCTCCGGCACCTGCACAAATTACCCAGCGGCCTCTCAAGGGAGCTTAAGAGTTGATGAAAGCATTAATTGGCCGGAGCCTGGGGGAAGCAGCCCTGTGTTCATGCTTCGCTGGTAGCGCTGCCATCAGTGGGGTTTCTCTGTCTGATTGTAAAATAAAAATGGCACCAGGAGAGGCTCATATCCCCCGAAACTACCTTTGGTGACCTTGGGAGATGCAGCTGAAGATATTGATTCGGCAGGGAGATGGGAGCAAAGCTAGCAGGGAATCAGGGAGAAATAGTCCGTAGGTGTTGTAAAGGAGAGGTTTATAGAGACCCTGCTCAGAGCTCTTTTAAAAGGAAAATGAAACGTAGCCTCTGCCCAGCTATAAATTCTCCAAACTCGTGAAGGTTTTGCAGAGAAGCGGAACCTCACAGGTATCTTTGCACTTTAAGACCTCACATGTGCAATTTTAAAGTCATCCGGAACTCCTCACCAGTGCTTTCCTCTTAACAGACGCCAGGCAGTATGCGCCCAGCATAAAAGCCAGGTTCCCTGCAGACACCTACGCTCTGACCGGGCAGATGGTGACTCTGGAGTGTTTCGCCTTTGGGAAGTGAGTGCAGCACCGCGTTGCTCGGGGTGGGGAGCAAATCGCAGACCCAGCAATGGATCTGCTGAACACAGGAGGGGGAATAGTGGGAGGAGTGGAGCAGCAAAGCCGATCTGTCCTGCTGGCCAAGGCCCAGCTGCGATGGGATCTGACTGAATTGGGGCTGGGTTGTGCCACGCTGGGTACCTGCTGTGTAAGACCCCATGGCTAAAAAGATTTACTTTTACATAGCCCTGTTCCTCGAATAAAGTGGAGGAAGCTAGATGGCTCGCAGACCTCCAAGTGGATCTCCAGCGAGCCCCTCCTGCACATCCAAAATGTTGACTTTGAGGATGAAGGCACTTACGAGTGCGAGGCTGAAAACATCAAAGGGAGAGACACCTACCAGGGCCGCATCATCATTCACGGTAAGGCAGCTCCACGTGTGCCTTTCCGTGGTGAGGCGCCCCAGCCAGACATCCCCCCCAGTCCAACCTATTACAAAGGCAGCACAGATTGCTGATCTTTCCTTCATGGATATATTTAGGCCGTGGCAAGGACAGAGAGACCTCCTCACTTACCCTACAATAATTCTAGCAAAAATGAGGTAACCACAAATGGGAGCATAGAGAAAGAAAGAAAGAAAAAAAAAATCAGATTTGTCTCTCCATCAAATCCTCCTCCGAGCCAGGGTCCTTTCACAAGGGTTAATGCTTGGAGCTATTAATCAGATCTAGTCAAGCTGCAAACTTAGCCCAGTTCTCCCATCCTGAATTCAATCTTCTCTGAAGGTCAGATGTGACTGCGTTTCTTCTTAGAAACAGAAATAACAATATTCTTCTCCAGATCTGGTTTATGCCATGATTTTGTGCAGTCCACGTGCAGAGCAGCAGTCAGAGAGGACCCAGTCCTGCATCACTGCACAAAAGGCAAAGGCTGTTACTATGGTGAAACACGCTGTGATAAATAAATCTGCCAGCAGAGATGACACAACGAGCATCCTTCTGCCTGCCTGGCACGACAAACCTCTCATCTGATCCTCTTGGCTCTGCCACCTCTCTTGCTCCTTTGCAGCTCAGCCGGACTGGCTGGATGTGATCACGGACACGGAAGCTGACATTGGGTCTGACCTGCGCTGGAGCTGCGTGGCATCCGGCAAACCCCGGCCAGCGGTGCGGTGGCTGCGGGATGGGCAACCCCTGGCCTCCCAGGTAGCACTCACTGCCTCACCGCATCCATCTCAGCCCCTGTTTATCACCCGCCTTCCTCTTCCATGTGCCCCCATGAGGCTGCAAAGCAACGTCGCGGTCCTTACCTCCAGCGAGGTCCTTCTCCCGTCACTGCCATCGCAGCCATTGATTCATGCAACTGCAGGAACTCGGAGCCAGTTGTCAGGGCAGATAAGGATCACCTTGTTCCTGCCTTTGTATGAGCTGCAAGTTGCCGCTCAGGCTCTCAGCAGTTTCAGCAAACACAGCGTAGCCACGTGGGGTGGTGGCTGGATGCAGCGGAAATGGCCTGTGCTTTCTCCCCCAGAAAACCAGGCTGGCTTTAACCTGCAAGGAAACTCAGCCCTGAACAGACAAGGCTTGGAGTTCCATTTCTGTTCTTCTCATCTAATGGGTTCATCCTCTTGTTTGCACAGAACCGCATCGAAGTGAGCGGTGGAGAGCTGAGATTTTCCAAGCTAGTCCTGGAGGACTCTGGCATGTATCAGTGTGTGGCTGAGAACAAGCATGGCACAGTATATGCAAGTGCTGAATTAACAGTGCAAGGTAATTTCTCATTTCCCAGCGCTCTGGGTTTCAATGGGACACTGAAGCATTTCAGATCTCCTTCCTGATATACCACGTTTGCAATCTCAGAGTAAGATCAGAGCAGACAAAACTGCTTCACTCACCATTGAAATATAGCTGCTGGTTCAGCACGACGCTCTACAAGCCTCTAAAATTTGAATCTGGTGTAAGTTCAGCAATGCTGAAAGAGCACAAGGACATCTGTTTAGCTACAGAAAGTGTACAGGACAGACAGCAGCAGCACAACTCCCTTCCATTGCCCTCCCTCTATTTGGGAGGAGAGAAGCCCAAGAACTGAGCTCTGTGCCCAGCCAGCCAGCTCAGGCATAGCGGCTGGACCTGGGCTGATGCTGTAGGGAATATCCTCTACATTTTCAAAAGCAGCTGTTCTTGTGTCTCTCAAAGACCTTGCACTTGTTAGGGTCATGTTGCCATTGCTAAGTGCGACGCGTGTCACCTCGCACCTGCCTGGCAGGGGTTGGACACCCAGCAGCAGAGGAGCCACTCCTGCATCCCGCTCGCCAGATATCGCCATGCTTTGTTACCAAGCCATCCAAGAAAGCAGTATCTAACGCCCCGGCACTTAAAATGCTGACACAGCAGGCCTTGCTAACCCTCTTTTTTCCCCCCTTATATAGCCTTAGCACCAGATTTTAGACTAAACCCAGTGAAACGACTGATACCTGCAGCCCGGAGTGGGAAGGTCATCATCCCTTGCCAACCGAGAGCAGCACCAAAAGCCACCGTGCTCTGGACCAAAGGGACCGAACTGCTCATCAACAGCAGCAGGTAGCAGCACAGCCAGCTTCGGCCCCAAAAAACACTGCTAAAATTGACATTTCTTTTTGCCAGAGGATGAGACTCGATGACCCACGCGTGCTGCTACGTCCCTAAACACGAACCCTTTGTTATTCCTCTAGTTTCTCCTTTGACAAAAATCTTACACTGTATCTTGCAGGCCCGCCTTTTTCTCTTTTTTCTCTAAAATCAGCAAGAGCAGGAAATGGTTTGGTAGGTGCAGAGAGTGAGTAGACATTTTAACCTTCTTTCTCGCTATGGTTCTTCATTGCCAGGGTGACTATTACCGCCGATGGCACCTTGATCCTCCAGAACATCAGCAAATCTGACGAGGGAAAGTATACCTGCTTTGCTGAGAATTTCATGGGCAAAGCCAACAGCACGGGGATCCTCTCTGTTCGAGGTAGAGATGTTTGGCTTGACTTGGGGTCAATCAAGGCTAAGAAGGCCACGATGTGAATTGGAATATTTCTCTTCCCTGTACACCCCCAAAAAACAATAGGGTACTCAGGGAATCTGAGGCCATTTCATCCTGTGCATCAGCAAACCTTCTGCTAGACCCACCAAACCTTACCCACCAACGTCTGCTCCATGAGAAAAGCATTTCTGTTTCCTATCTACTTTAATCTCTTATCTTCATCTTACGAGAAGCCAACAGCTAAAATCCTGCTAGAGAGGGATGACGACAAGTTAGGAAGTGTTAGTTCATTTTGCTGTGCGCCAAAGAGCCCTCCCTCGTCTTCCTCTGCAGATGCCACCAAAATCACACTGGCACCATCCAGTGCTGATATCAACGTGGGTGAAAACCTCACTCTGCAGTGCCACGCATCCCATGATCCAACCATGGACCTAACCTTCACCTGGTCCCTGGATGATTTCCCCATTGACTTGGACAGGTCGGAGGGGCACTACCGGCGAGCCAGCGTGGTGAGTACCAAGGGGAACTACACACCAACAATAAGGGCAGAAAAGCCACACCAGCCCCTTTGTTTGCACGGTGGGTTGTGATCAGCCGTGTTTCCCTGCTGTCCTTTCTCCCTGCACAGAAGGAAGCTGTCGGGGACCTCGCCATCGTCAACGCCCAGCTGAAGCATTCGGGGCGGTACACGTGCACAGCCCAAACGGTCGTGGACAGCACTTCGGAGTCGGCCACGCTGACTGTCAGAGGTAATCCCCACTGCTTGTGAGCCTGAAGCACCAGCAGGCTCTTCGTGAGGGCTCAGCCCTTGCTGTGCAACTACCCCGCCATCTCACATTCCGTTTGGCTGGGAGTTGTGAACGTTAGAAGAAGAAAAAATGCGAGGTGAGGCTTCCCTGCCTCCAGAAAAGAAAGGTTTGATCTTCATTTACGACTTGCAGGACACAAAGAGCAGTAAACCCCCCAAATCCTTGACACTTCAGTAACATGTCCACCTCTCTCCTTCACCCCAGGACCCCCCGGGCCCCCTGGGGGTGTGGTGGTGAGAGACATCGGTGACACCACCGTCCAACTGAGCTGGAGCCGTGGCTTCGACAACCACAGCCCCATCGCCAGGTACAGCATCGAGGCCAGGACACTGCTCTCCAACAAATGGAAGCAGATGCGCACCAGTAAGTGCCCTCAGGGCTGTGGTGTGGTCCCTGAAGTCCCAGCCTGGGCTCACCAGCTCCCTGCTGAGCTCTTGCTCTGTGCTCGCAGGCTGTCCACCATTTGCTCTATTTGTTCTCCTCTCGTGTTATTGGATTATATAGATCCTGTAAACATCGAAGGCAATGCCGAGACAGCCCAGGTGGTGAACCTCATCCCTTGGATGGATTACGAGTTTCGGGTCTTAGCGAGCAACATCCTTGGAGTTGGGGAGCCAAGTTTACCCTCCAGCAAAATCCGTACCAAAGAAGCAGGTACGTGCAGACATGCTCAGAGGTGGAATGGGGAATCAGAGGCACCTACATGCAGAAAGAGAAGGCTGGCTTGCAGCAAGCCCTGGCCTGGGCGATTAGTTCTTCTCCTTGAGTGCTCCTAGAGGTGAACCCATTGCAAATTTTTCTGCCTTTTTGCCCATTTACACATCAAAGACAAAGAATTACCAGAACTGGCAGCCAGCCTCACCAGCATGAGCAACAATATATTAAAGCACTACAAATCCTAGCTTCAAATACGATACGTTCTGGGTAGTAATGCTTAGAAAGGTGAAAGAGCCCTATTATATTAGAGAGCACAACTGTGCAAACACAAGATAAATTTCCCAGCTGTAAATGTTGATTCTATCTCGTGCAGCTCGAACACGCAAGCAGAAGGGATGTAGGATCAGCAGGAGAAACACTCTCAACGCACCAAGTGCATATTAACTCCTTTCTAATTTAAACTCTCCTACAAATTCCTGCTTCTGAGATTGATTCTCATCCCTTCAGAGGAACGCTGCTGGTAAATAAGCATGTCAGGGACCAGCCAGTGTTCGAGACCTGATTTTCACAAATATCTGAAATACTTCTGGCTGAGAGGCAGCTGCCTGTGCCTGTCTTTGCGCTCATCCTCACCACTGCTGTTCCTTTAACCCAACCTGCACTGTCTGCAGCACCCACAGTGGCACCATCTGGGCTCGGCGGTGGCGGTGGGGCTCCCAATGAGCTCATCATCAACTGGACGGTGAGTCAGTGGCACAGCACTGGCAGGAGGGCTGTGGGAGGGCAGGGGACAGCAAATCAGTGCTGCAATGCAACAATGGAGCCAAACACTGCTTAGCAGCGGTCCCAAAGTCTTGCTCTCTTGAACAGAGGGGCTTAGGTTGGAAGGGACCTTAAATATCACCTCCCTGCCACAGTGGCATCTCAACAGCCACAGGAGCAATTTTGCTCACGGCAGACATAAGGAAATCATAGAATCTTTCAGGTTGGAAAGGTCACTAAAGTCACCGGTTCCAACCATCAACCCGTTGCCACCGTGCCACTAAACCACACCACTCAATGCGACCCTTTAGTTGAAAGCCCCATCCAGAAATGCTTTTTCCACCCAAGGCTTTTTCCTCACAGCCAACACTGCGGGACTACCAGAACGGAGATGGCTTTGGCTACATCCTGTCATTTCGTAAGAAGGGCACTCAGGAATGGCTCACTGCCCGCGTGCCTCACGCGGAATCCCTGCACTACGTGTACCGCAATGAGAGCATCGGGCCCTACACCCCCTTCGAAGTGAAGATCAAAGCATACAACAGGAAAGGAGAGGGACCAGAGAGCCTCACAGCCATCGTGTACTCCGCAGAAGAAGGTGAAGGGGACAGCAGGGGCTCTTGCTGTCTGGCGGCTTGCTGATAGGAGAGGTTTGCCATTCTAAGGGCAGCCGATAGTGATTTGAGCATAGGATTTATCTGCTCCTTCAGTACACAGATAGAGGCTTCCCTAAGCACAGAGCAGACAGATCCTCACAGCATGCAGCTGTTGGTCTCCTTGACCTGCTAAGTCCCTCAATCCCTTCCCCTTTCTTTGCTCTGTATACACAATACCAGCTGTCGGGCTGCACGGTTAAGGTGCTGAGGCGAGCCTCTCCTTTCAGTACAGTGAATGCACTGCCCAGAGCTTGGAAAAGCATTTTATCCCTTTTTCTCGTCTTTTGCAGAACCAAAAGTGGCTCCATTCAGAGTTACAGCCAAAGCTGTTCTGTCCTCAGAAATGGATGTGTCCTGGGAGCCAGTGGAGCAGGGAGACATGACTGGCGTGCTGCTGGGTTACGAGGTACGAGCCCATCGTGGGAACAAGGGAGAATCACTCAAGCTGTAAAAAACCTCCAAGATCACCAAGTCCAACCACCAACCCATCCTCACCTTGCTCACCAACCTGTGTCCCAAGTGCCGAGGGGCGTCCAACACTGTTCTTGAATGGAAATTCGCAGATACTTCTTTCCTTACTGAACCCTTTTCTATTCAGATCCGGTACTGGAAGGATGGCGATAAAGAGGAGGCAGCTGACAGAGTGAGAACAGCAGGGTTGGTCACATCGGCTCACGTCACAGGCCTAAATCCCAACACGAAATACCACGTCTCAGTGCGAGCCTACAACCGTGCTGGAGCTGGGCCCCCCAGCCCCTCCACCAACATCACAACCATAAAGCCACGTGAGTGAGCTCTGACCGCCTCCATTACACGGTGCTGCCTCCTGTGCACCCCTAGCGAGCAGCTGGCCAATCAGCTTGCACCTCTCAGTGCCCTAAAGCCATCCCAAATAGTCAATAAAACAGCTCCCTGCGTTTGCTAGGATCAGCCCTGCTCACCATAGAATCATGCAGTCATTGAATTGTAAAGGTTAGGAAAGACCTCAAAGATCCCCTAGCCCAACCATCAACCCATCCCCACCATGCCCACCAACCACATCCCCGAGTGCCACATCTACATGTCATGAAGAAATACTCTGAGCCTCAAAGGGGGAATGCCATTTGTTACAAATAGCACCAGGGGAAAACAGTTTTTTCCTCCTTCTCTCCTTCAAAAATGTTGTAATGCTCTCTGGGATGCCTTCCATTAAACCAACAAGGTGGTCCCACAGCTCTGTTCATGAATCAGAGAGGCTCAAGAGATGAGTGCAACCAGCACAGCCCCTGCACCAGCCCCTGGCTCGCTGAATCTCTGTCTCCTTTTTTATCTCTTAGCACCAAGGAGGCCACCAGGCAACATCTCCTGGACTCTGACTGGGTCTACAGTCACCATCAAGTGGGACCCAGTGGTGGCACAGGCAGATGAGTCTGCAGTTACAGGGTACAAGGTACAGGCAAGCATGCTGAGAGCCTTCTGTTACACTAAGGAAGCCACAGGGAACGTAAACTCAAACCTGCTTCTTCCAACAGATGCTTTACAGGCAGGATTCCCACTCTGCTCCCACGCTGTACCTGGCGAGCAAGAGTCGGATCGACATCCCAGTGCCTGAGGACTTCACTCATGCCTTCGTACAGATCCGGGTGACGGGGCCTGGGGGGGGATGGGATCCCAGCAGAAGTCCACATCCTCCGAAATAGTGGTACGTCTGCACCCTGGGTATAAATGCTCATCTTCAGGGTGCTTCCCAGAATGCTGCAAAACAATAGATCCATTTCCAGGAATACTTGCTGTCGTGTTCTTTGACTCGGTCACCAAACTCTCCGCAGCCCCTCTTAGCAACTCTTCAGCTTAAACCAAACCCAGCTTTACCACCTGAAGCTGAAACCCTTCGTCCCCTGACTCCCATCCAAATTATATTCACTGTGTGAGATCCTGACTTCATTTAGAGCCCCCAGTAGGAGCCCCACCCCCCAGTTCCTTGATTCAGTGCATGAATGCTCAAATCCCACCTCCAAATTCTTGTTTCAAACACAACCATTTCTGGGAGGCTCACCTGTGCCATGCACAGCAGGAGCACACAGAACCCCACAGCCAACACTGCACCATCAATATCTCTGCAAGAAACCTTTGTGCCCATGCAGCACCACAGCTGCCCCTTCCTTGCTCCCTTTCTTCCAGGGACCAGTATGATGGTGGAAGACTCCGTGACGAGGCCGGTGCCGCACGCTGCCATCATCACCACCAACTCCCTGGCCATGGTGGCCCTGATCCGGTACCTGGAGCTCTAATGGGGCCAGCAAAGTTGAGATGTGGGACATCCCTCCTCCCAGGGCAGCAGGAACTGCTCAATGTCTGGTGCTGCACCTCCATGTTTGGACCGCAGCAGTGTTACAGAGAGGGATTTGCTAACATTATCTGAAGGGAGGAAGAAAGAAACAGCTTTTTTTTGTTGTCGTTCCTTTGGAAGAGTATGAGACCGCATACAAGACGTGGGTCTGCAACCAATCAACTTTTTTTTTTTAAGGAGTACAGCAAAGAAGAATTCTACCCAAATTCTGACAGCCGACTGCCCCGTTCACCACACTGAGAAGGTTTTCTGCCTTACGAAGCCATGTACTACAATAACCAGACTGCTAAACTTGACTTTTTTTAAAATATGTACAGTGTATTTGGGGGAGGGGGAAGGGAATCTGGGGACTGAGGACTTCCAAGTGATGGGCACGTTCCACACCGACCCCAACCACAGCCATCTCTACGGAGCGATGGGCCACGATTCACTTCCCCAAAATAAGAGCCAAATTCCACAGCAACGAGCCCAAGGAGACAAAGCCACAAGAGACACCACTCTCTGCTTCATCCTGAAGGAGATGGGTGGACACAAGAGTTTAGCTTGTGAACATCTTCTGTTTCTTTTTTTATGACACTGGTGTTAACTCGCAGCCTCGTGTTTGTAACAGCTGCCATGCTGTGAGGTGCAATGTTTGATGTGATCCATATCCCACCTGGTCCGCGGTGTTCTTGTTCTGTTGTTTGCTTCTTTGTTGTCTGGGGAGGGGTAAGAGAAAATCCACCCGTTTGGAGAGAGATCCTCCTGATGCAGAAGGCTTGGAGATACTTCATTTCAAGGCGGAGAGGACCTGAAAGAAGGAAGAGAAAGGAACACCAAGACCTGGAGACTTCACAAAGCTGAGGCAACAAGGAGGATCTGGAACGGGGCATTCATCCCCAGTCCCAGATTTGGGGACGTATGATGGATCCTCAGTGTGCTTGGCCAATGTACATAGGGCTGACACCCCAACGTGGGGATGTCCAGCCGCCCCACTGATTGAAATGGTTGGGAAGAGCTGCCACCTATTAAAAATTCTGCATCTCCCAGTAAAGCAATGAAATGATTCACCTTCCTCGCTGGTGCAATGGGAAGGGACTGGCAAGCAGCTCCTATGCTAGATGCCAATTCCTTACCCCAGCTAATCATTTTAAAACTAACATGTCCTTGGCCTTAGTGAGCATTAAAGAGATTACATGCATAAATCCCTGCCCTCCCGGAGGAGTGAGGCCTGCTGCACATCCACAGCTTCCCATTACCAGTTTGTCGCATCTGGAAGCAAGAAGGTAACAGGTCCCACGGTGCTTAGGGAGCAGGAGAAATGCTTGAGGGAACAGGCAGGGGAAAACAAACATCACAAAACTAATAACATTTAAAGGGCAGCTAAAGCAAAAAAAAGAAAGGGCTCTTTGGTTTCCCTTGAATAAAAACTAAAAAGTAAAAAGCAATGCAGATCCCACTGGTGCGTGGCAGGCAGTGATGGAGGGACCCCCCCTCGCTCTGCAGCTCTCCATGGATTAACCCTCCATCCCTGCAGCAGATCCCAGCAGTTCCTTCAGGAGGACAACAACGCCTAAATATAAATTCCTATTTTTATACCAGATAAGTTCTTGAAGACTTTTAAATATTTCTATTCAGGTTTGTAACCCTTTTTTTTTTTGTTGTTCTTTTTTTTTTTTTTTCCTTTGGCAGAATGTTTTCTCTTGTTACATCAGTGTTTTTGTCACCATCTCCATATCTCCATCCACCTCGCTGGGCCTTGGGCCTTTCTCCCATGGAAGGATGAGAGGTGAATGAGGAATTCAGTGTTAGGTCAAAACAAAGAAGATCAGGGCTTGGTCACAGGCAGTCTGATCGATGCAGAGTGGAGGAGGCAAAAACGTGGCTGCACCTACTGAGCTTGGAAGCACTGATGAACCATTCCCTGCAGCTCTGCAGAGTCTGGGAGAGGAGCAAATGGGAGAAGGATGACATGAAGTGCCCAAAAGGGACCATTGGACTGAGGTGCAGCAGCTGGAGGAGCCCAGGTTGGGTCCTGCTGTGCTCTGCAGCGTGGGATGGAGCTGAAACTCTCCTCCTGAAGACACCCACTGAGCAACATGGGGGGAAAAGCAGAACAGTGGGGCGCAGGCTTGGCTCTGACCCGATGTCCATCCCAGCATTGGGCACAGATGTTACATGAGAACCCAACCAGCAGAGCTGGAGCAGCTGCTCAGCACAGGCACAGCTCTGTGCCTCCAAGAGGTGCGTGCACAGCTGCAGAGCAACTGACTGTGCTTGGTTAGACCGCCTGCATGCTGGATGAACTGTCACAAGTGAGCAGAGCAAAGCAAAGCAAAGCAAAGCAAAGCCCCACTGCCACACGCAGGGGCTGAGGCTGTGCACCAGCCTGTCCCCGACTCAAACAGCCTCAGCAGATGCTTCCAGATGTGTCCAGCAACAACAGTGGCTGTGAACACTTGACTTAACTTCACAGGATGGTGATTTCCAGCACAGTGAAAAAAGCATTTAAATGCGGTAGTGCCACTGGGTGCTAAATAGCTGCCACCTGCAGCAATCCCTGGGAAGGTTTGTACATTCTCCATGTATTTATGGGTTGAAGTAGAACACAGGCACAGTTTATATCAGTGAAAAACTTCATGGTTGGATTTCAAATGTTCTGGCTGGCACTGCTCCGCATTGCAAACGGCCTGAATATACTCTGCCATGTAAAATTCATGGGACAGTATTTCCTAAAGCCCTTAAGTGACAAGTAGGTCCCCTTGATAGCTAAATGTTCGCTATTTGAATTCAAGTTATGCCTCATTTTTGAAAAGATAAATCACGAGCACACACACACAGCTTCATCAGGATGCATTGTAACCAAAACGCTGCTCCGTTTCTGCAACGTTTTAAGGACTACACACAGAAGCAAAGAAGTGTGACCAAGAGATGGCCATAGCCACTGCTCTAACCCCAGATGTGATGCAGGTTCCAGACCCCAGCAGTTTCCCCACCCTGGGAAGTGAGGCAAGTGGTGCCTTTGCATGTTCCAGGCAGTCTGCAACATCTGTGCACTCACACTGCTGGGGCTGATTCAGAGCAGAGCAGCTTTCAGCAAGGCTGGGACCCCGTTGCCCCCAGCCCTGCACTGTCACCCAGCACTGCTCACACCAGTGCTCCCCAAAGCACCATCACAAAGAAGCCCTGAAAAGTGCATGCAGTCAGCCATGTGCCCACCAGGCACTGGGGGTGACCTGGGGCAAAGATAGGGGCACACTGGAAGGCGTTGCAGCACACGCAGGGATGCAGGCTGGGTGCAGAGCAGGGCGAGCAGTGAGGATTCCCCACCTGCAGCACCCACAGAGGCCAAAGGCAGAGCAGAGGGCTTCCAGAGGCACTGGCTGTGTTACAGCAAGGGCTGCCTTTTTGGGGGCAGCCCATTTTCCCCTTGAATTTCTCAGGGGGCTTTGGGACGCACAGTGATGTGCACACACACCTATTCCTTTAGCAAGGCGCACCCGAGGCAGTACCCAATTAAATTCTATCCAAGCTATAAAATAAACCCACACGTAAAGCCCAACCAAAGCCCTCAGCAGGAGGGAAAGATGTGGGAGAAACCTCCTGTGAGAGCACTCAGAGCTTCTGAAGTGCAGCACGGGGCCTAAAGGGTGCTGTGAGCTGGGGGAGAACACAGAAGATTTCAGCATCTTAACACGAGGTCACTGGATTTGCACTGTTGCATTAAGCTGCAAATCAATTTCCTGTCTCATTAACAATCCCTCACGTGTAATTGCTGTGAGCATTTACTTTAGGAATTGACTTACAGGGACGAGTTAAGCGCCCGGGTTTTGTTCCAATGCTGTTATGGCTCAGCGAGGGAAGTCATCCAATTTCACAGGGTCCTTCTTCTTAGCAGCGCCACCAATGCCACGAGGATGCTGGAAGGGATAAGCAACGAAGGTGAAAAGCTTTGGGTCTCCCAGGCGAACAGCTCTGATATATTCACATCTAACATGCAACAGCCTACCTGGTCGTACTGAAGTTACAGATGGAACGTTGCGTTTCTGATTTTTAGGAGGTCTGGACCAAACTCAGCACTCAGCCAGGTGGGTTTGGATGAGGAATGGCTCAGTTACAGCAGGAATGATTCAACACTGATCCCAAATGGGAGACGTTCCCATCCTTCACCCAAGGAAGGCAGCTGAGTAACGAATCCCATTCATAATGGGGTAAAGAATGGGATGGCATCCCATCCATAAAGCCTGGAGTCCTGAATCCTGCCTGCTCCAAACCTACAGAGCTGTTCCCCACCACACCAACCATCAGCTGGGAATATTTTCATCCAGCCTCACTGCACCCAGGCAGCTTTCTTCTCAACAACTTGCTTGTAGACTATTTTTTTAAGGAAAACAAATGGGGAGCAGTGTAAGCATACTGTATTTACTGTAATTATGGTTATTTATTGGCTACAGTAGCACGCAGTTCTTAAATAAAGATCTTTAGAGACAACTGCTGGAGCCTGGAATGCTTCTGGAAGGGCAACGAGCACTGGGAGCACTCAGCATCCCCCCAGCCCTGCACTGCCAATGGCACCCACAGACAGAACACCCAGCAGAACTCAGCAGAAGTTAATTAGGACACAGTAAGCTCTGGTTCTACCCCACAGACAGCGATATCTGATGGGAAGAGGAGGGGCTGCCCTCAGGGCGAGGAATTGCAGGTGTCTGTTGGGGTTCTGCTTAGATCTGTTAATTTAATGCGCTTTTCCTGGCTGGTGTTCTGATGGCAAGCAAGTAATGCTAGAAAACTCAAGTAAGAAATTTCACGTGGCTCATTAGCAAAAAGGGTAATTGATTTTTAGGATAGCTTGCCAAAAAACCTTCATCGTCCATCGCAGCATTTAAACCCTGACTGGAGTTCTTCCAGGAAGGATATCCCTGAGACCAGCCATGAGCCAGCAGGCTCGTGAAGGTTCACTTCCATTACAGAAAATAATTTGCACCGTGGCAGGAAGCACGGCATGAAATCACCTGCTCTGCGCTCTGTTGGATTAATCCATCTCCCTCCTTCCTTTTGGCCTTAAATAAAACCTGTTTGCTTCCCTCCACCTGCAGGATGGACTCCAAGGGACGGAGCAGCGGTGTGTGGCACAGCTCTGTGGTTGTGCTGGAGTCAGAGTGGGCAGCGAGATGGGGGCTGAGCAGCAGTGGCCACAGGAAACATCACCCAGACCTTCCTGCTGCACTCGCTCACGTTCAGTTGTGCTTAAGCACTTCTGTTCCCACCAAGCTGAACTCCACATCAGCTCACCAAAAGAACGTGCTTTGGGATGGAAGCAAAAAGGGTCACTTTTGGGAAAGTGCTGGGAAAAACCCAGCTGCTCTTGAAGCTGGCCTGTAAGCTTCCAGCTCCAATGAGTTTGGATGGTGCAGTGCGTGGGGAGGGGAGGGATGGACGGGTAAGGATGGAGGGGGAGGGATAGACTCCTTTTCCAAGGAGCCCCCACTGCCCACGGGTGGAGGGATGAGTTTATCTGGCAGCCATACAACACACTGAGCCCTTAGTGTGGCTTAGGGGCAGGATGAGGTCCCAGAGCCCAGCTCAGCTGTGTTCAGCCCATGGCAAGCTGTGGCCCCTCTGCCCCACACTGTGCAGGGCCGCAGGTGAGCCCGCTCCTCCCCACAGCCCCTTAATGAGCTCAGGGACTGCAGCAGCAGAGGGGCTTTGTAAGGTGGGGGGGAAGCATAATTAAAGCACGCAGCAGGGAGCAGCCAGCACAGAGATGGATCGCCCCCAGTGCATTTCTGCTTTCTCAAGTGCCATCATTAACGGCACACAGACACCAAGGGGAAATTGGTGGCCATGGTGAATCCCATTCAAACCTTGGAATCAGACTAAGCACACCTGACTCAACGTCTTCTAATGCAGAGTTAACCAACACGCCCCTGCTTAGGATTAGCACTGCAACAGTGGGTTTGTTTTTCTCTATTTCACCTGAGATAATACACGAACCCAAAAACCCATCAGTGTTCAGCGTGCTTCAGCAAAAGACACCGCTTTGTTCACACGCTCCAAAGCTCCACGTTGCTATCACAAGAGACAGGCAACAAGTGAACAAATGTCTGCAGGGTGTCACTGCCAAAAAAAGCTGGGAGAAATGGCAGGGGAGGGAACAAGCGGAATATCTACAGCTTCCAGTGCAGCTGTGCTGGGAGGAAGGCAGCAAAAGGAAAGGGGAGAGCAAACTGGATTTCTTCAAAGCATTCTTCCATGTGTGGGGAAGGAGGGGGATGCATTATGCAGGTGGTAACTGTGCACTCGTGTGCATTTCGTAGCCACAAGCAATGCATGTCACACCTTACCTGCTAAAAGCCTCTCCTGGAGGTATGCAGGCATCTGAGCTGAGCCCCATTGCTGAGCACTGCATTGCTGCTGCATTTGCAAGCCCAGTTGTTGCTCCCACCGAACCACATCCACTGTTATGTTGCAAAACCCTCCGCAATACCGGGCTAGGAAAGCTGTTCTACAAAACCAATGGCTATTGAAGAAAATTGCCACATTTCCAGGCACTCCCTCCATCCTGCTTGAGGTTTAAGGGATGCCTGCAGCAAACGAGATGGTAACAAATGAGCCAAAGGGGGGGAGAGCAGCAGTGAGGGAAGGCAGAGTGCTGGGAAAGGGAGAAGAAGAAGGCAACAGCCTGTGAGCTGCACTGCTCAATGCACCCCAGCAGACTGTGGGACTGAGCAAAAGAATTAACACAGATCAGCGTGCAGAGGATGGCAGAGCCAGGCTGGGTGTAAGAGCAGCATATGGGGGTTGTTTTCCTCTTAGCTACCATTCAAATTCCAGCAGTTAAGGCAATCTAGTTATTCAATTTAGATAAGCTTCAGTAGCTAACAGCAATTTAAACAGCTGCCTGTGCCTCACCATTCTGTTATTGCCTCCTTCTATCCAAGTGCTAATGCCATTAGCAAATTGACTTCCTCCCTCACACAATCTGTTTGGCTTTAGCATGTGCAATTCTAATTGCTTCCTAATACCTGGGCCCAGCAGCAGGCTGCAGAAGTTTGTGCCGCAGAGAGCCTCAGTGTGAGGAGGGGTGTGCAGGCAGCCCCTCTTCAGCCCCCTCCTCTGGGTGAGACAGAGGAACAACTGCTGAAATGGAGGAGAAAGAAGCTGAGGCACAAATTAACAGCAAAAAGACACGGTTTTTTTTCTGCAGTGCAGAACAGTTACACGGGAGAGAAGAGGCAGACTCAAAGCACGCAGGGAAAGCAGCATTTCAAACGGCAGCCAAAGGCCCCGTTCTGCCCTTCCTGGTGCTGGTGCCACGCTGTCCATCACTGCCTTCCATCTTAAAACATTAAAAGAACCATATTCAGCTTCCCTGCTCCGGGCAACTGCCTCCCCTTGGCAAGAAGAGGGAGCAGACCATCAAAAGATGAAGGACTCCTTTGGCTCCCACTTTGACCTCCTCATCAGCACTGAGGAAACGGATGCTCCTGGACCTTTCATGTCATCTTTCTGCATTTCTAAAACCCGGCAGCCCACAGGAAACAAGCTCTATATTTGCATTACAAAGTGTGAGGGGACTCCTCCAGATGGGACTGCTTCTTTGTGGGTTTTAACCACCAGCTCCCGAGGAAGCATCTGCCTGTTCCTGCTATTCAGAGGGTCCTCCAGCCCCAGACAGGACCAGAGGAGGTCTCACCCCATGCAGAATGGAGCCTCCTCACTCCTGTGGTGTGTATCTATAGCACACAGAGCTCAATTTCTTCACATTCAGAAGCAAAATGAGCTCTGAAAGTCTGCTGCATGCATATCCCAGGATGTGGGGCACTCACCATCAAAAAAGCCACAGCCAGGAGAGGTCTGGGTGGGATGAACGCAGCCGGCACGCAGTGGGTTCCTCGAGGTGTCCTAAATGTGGGTGTGCACTGCTCTGTGTCAGTGCTGCTGCTTGGAAAGAGGAGATTCCCTGCGGGTGAGAGGATGAGGTGACAAGAGAGAACCAAGATCTGGGTCTCCCCTGCTTGCATTTTGCTCAGGGGTGGAGAAAGTGTGGGCAGAAAGCCGAGCTGACCCCCCTCGCCCTGCCCAGAGGCAGCGTGCCCTGCTGTGTGTTTCAGTCGATGAGAAATCTGTTGTTAAGAACAGTTAGCCTAAAGCAGGGCTCAACAGGGCAGCTCAGCAGTAAATCAGCGCAAAGCAGGGAGCCAGTCAACAAATGCACACCCAGGGGAAACTTCCAGCGCTGCAGGACGGCCCCCTTCACCTCCACCAACCTCTGCCCGTGGCTGTGAGCAGCGAATTCTTCCCTCAGAACCCAGCAAACAACCCACAGAGAATCCAAGGCTGGTAACAGGCTCAGCTCCTCACTCAAACACAGACAACCCCACGGCCTGCAGATCATTATTCAGATATACCCATTACCCACTTAATTGGACATGAAGATTCAGCTCGCTACGTTTTGGTCTGATGTTGTTTTCTTTCAATAGGATGTTCTGCAAATAAAGTGTCTGCTTGTATATTCAGCTCTTTCTACATTAAAGCGTTATTTTTCTGGTCTGAAGAAAAAATATAATAGTATGCTTTGATCTAAATAGCAGAGCTCCATCATTACTTTCCCCGGAATTGGATGCCTGGTGCATTCCTGTACTTCAGTTCACGGGGAAAAAAAAGGAAACAGAGCGAGTAAATAGAGTTGTTTACTGTAAAATAAAGACAGAAACCAGAGAGAGAAGGCACTTAATAAGTCCCTCTGCGGATTCTGCTACCAATGGGGAAACAATGCTCCCTACAGTGCTGCTGCATGCTTTGTACTTATTAGTCACCAGGAAAACGAGCCACAGGCCTGCTGAACTCTTCCCTCTCCTCCTCCTTTAAAGATTTTAGGAGTGAGCTCAGCTCTGAGTCGTGATTAAAACCACCCCGTTACGCTCCTTGAGCTGCAGTGCTCAGATTGAAGATGTGCTTGTGCTGCCTAATGCTCCCTGCCTCGCTGTTCTGAACTACAAAGGGAAGAGTGGAAGCTTCCAACTACTGCTGATGATGCTTCAGCTTTCTGAAGTGGGAGACAAACAAACACAACAGGCAGGGAGCTCAGCTCCTCCCAGATCCCCAAAACAGACCTTGGGGTCTGCTGGGAAGGACCACAGAGACCCAGCAGGGACCCAGCTGCAGCATCTTCACTTCTCTGCACCTCTTTTGCTCCAGCTACCGACCTCAGGGATCTGTGTCACAAAACCTGGGCAAGGGAGAAGAAATTCAAGAGGATGAGGGAGAAACAGGATCCCAAGTTCTGAGCTGCAAAACAAAACAAAAACACCCCAAACTCTCCAACCCAACCAAGAGAATAACTGCAAACCTCATTGTGAAACAGAGCACCAATACTGATGTTGATCTACTTGTGACAATAAGCGAGACAGAGACAAGAAATCGCACTAGAACTGAGTCTGATTCTCTGCAGCTCTGCTTCTCAACTTCTCCTGCAAGCAGCGGAGAGCCAGGCTCACCACGACGACCCCTACCAGCCCAGTTCCAAGCCCTATCAAGGATCTATGAAAGGATTTTCTTTGCCAAAAGTACAGCTTCTCCTCCACGTCTACAAGGGTGCTGTTGGCTTCGATTCCTTCCTCGTTCCTGACTGCCAGCTTCTGCTCTCGAGTCAAGGATTTGCCAAAGTCCAGGTCCACCAAGTCATTTCGGATCACCCTGAGCCCAAAGTAGATCCTCTTGATGACCCTGAACGTCTTCAACACGCGCACGTCGCAGCGGTACGTCCCAGCATCAGATTCCTTGGTTGGGGAAAAGGCAACGGCGAAACCCGGGTTTCTGAAAGGTGCAAACAAAACATCATTCATGGTGATGAGACCCGGGGCGAGTTTCCACGTACAGCTGTACCCTCTGACGCCCAAATCGATGACGTCTGTGGTCAGGCAGCTGAGCACCAGGGGTTTGCCCATGGGGACGGTGAGGTGCAGCAAACCGCAGCCCCACGTGGTGGTGCAGTGCGAGCGGCGCGTGGTGCAGTTCTTCCTCTCCCCTGCTGCTGTGATCTCACACATTTCCTCCACTTGGAGGCCCAGGCCGCAGGTGACGCTGCACGACGTGGCGTTCACTGCAACGTGAGCCTCTGCTGACTGCAGCTCTGGTGGGATGGTCACTTTAGGAAAGGAAGCTGCCCCCAGCCGGAGGCAGAAAACCCAAGGCAGCATCACGCCAAGGATGCAGCCGCTCCCCAAGGTCTTCGTGGCGGCCATCGGATGTGGCACCGTGTAAATTCAGCAGTCAGAACAACTTCTGGTCCATCTTCAAACAGAAATCTCACCAGCATCCCCCAGCGAGGCAGGTTTGAAGCTTGACACTGCCAGGGAAGGGGCAGAACATCACTGTGTGGGTCAGAACCGATGAGGAGTTCCAGTTCCCAGGCAGCAGAACGTTTAAACCCACTGTATCCCAGCAACTGGGATCTGCTTGACTATTTATTAAGTCCTCCTTTCTACTCCTTGACATTTCCATGCCATTTCAGATGAATTTCCACGCTGCTGTTCCAGTTCAATCTTCCCAGCAAACTATAAAACAATACATCTTAATTACTGGAACCTCTAAAACAGTGTTGCTTAGCACAAAGAAATCATGACACGCATAGCAGCTGTATGGCTCTGCTCTGTAGACACTTATCCTAAAATCTGAAGTCCTCCCCAAAGGACCAAGATGATGAGAACAAGATTTTGACATCCAGAGATCAGTGGTGAGCAGGGCTGCGTCACTGGCACCCATCATTGTCCAAGATGGCACCCAGTGGTTCTGCATGGGTTGGAAAGCAGATGCAGATGGGATTCAAGAGCACCAACCCCACTGCATCCCGAAAGAACAAAGCAATGAGAAAAGCTCTCCATGATCAAGTTGTTTCTTTCTGATGGTGTAACAGAGCTATGGTCAAACCAGGTCAATAACCAGATTGTCTGAACGATGGACTGCAGAAAGGATTTAGAATGCCACGTTCTTCACTGGCTTGGCTAATGAATATCCAAGTTTCTCTTCCCAATAGCCCTTAATTTATTAAAAGCAAAAACAAAATGGCTTCTGAGGTGGAGAACGGCCACAAACGCAGTCAGCTCCTGCAGAGATGCTCTCTGCACCCAGCACTCTTCGTGTTCAGTTCCCTTCAGCACTTCTCAGGGTTCCTACACTGCACTCAGGTCTTCCTTCCGTGGGGGATTTCAGTAAAGACACCACCAACCAAATGCCACACTGCAGAAAAGCCAAGAATAGCAATAAAACCAGCCATGACACACCGGCTGTGGTGAAGGCACACGTTTGCACCAGAGCTGTAGGGCAGGGTTCCTTGGCAGCATCACAACAGAAACCATCACGAAGTTTGGAAAAGCCAAGACTTAAGCCATGACTTTAGGAAATAAAACATACCTCTTTATTTACAGGCACAAACCTAAACCAGTGCTATATGCTACCACCAAGCCAGGATCTGACCAGTATTGTACAAAACTACAGATGTCAGGAAATAAAACAAAAGAGAGAAACAAACCAAGGACATACAGACTGTACAGAGAGGGTTTAACAGAAATGAAGGCTGGAGTCTGTGGCAAACGATTCGCTTTAACACAACCAGGAGAGCCACTGCCTGTGCATCTTGTGAAGCTTTTGCATTCAGCCATGCCACGTATGGGCAGGCTTGACAAAACAGTTTTCCACAGGAGATGCAAGCCATCCTACGAGCAGAAAGAACAAAGGAAACCGATGCTGCCCACGTGGGAACAAATGGCATCAAGCTGATCACAGCACCAAAGCGGGAAACGAAAATACCAGTCTGAAATCCTTCTGATGTAACACGTCTCCTCTCTTGCCATGCTTATGTCTCATGTCATCACTGCAAATTCACACCTCCCTTCGTGACTCCTCGGCTTTTAATGTCTGCAGGATGCTTTGGAAATCTAAATACTTGGTGGTAACCTCAATAATTGCATCTGGGGAAAACCTGAAGGTCATCTGTAGGAACTAGGAAGTCTCTACAAAACAAAGGGCATTGGGAATGAAAACTTAGTTTGGTACAGAAAGATCTGGATGCAGATTGCAGATAGAGAGAAGCGTCTCCATCCCAATCTCACATGGAAAATATTGCAAGTGAAAGGTTAAAGCACAGCTGGAATAAGCTTGAGTGTTCACCTTCTGTATTTGACTCAGAAATGGGGGGGAAAAAAAAAAGAAAAAGAGCATTTTTAAAAAGTCATGGTCCACATGTTTGTCTTTTACAATCACACCATTATTCATTTCATCTTTAAGCCCTGGAAGAGTAGCTGGAAAAAAATACAGTTCCAGTTAGGAGAAATATTGGCTGTTCCTTCTCCAAGTACCAGCATTTAGCAGCTAAGGAGGGAACAGCATTCCTGGTGGGGCATCTTAAATGGAAACAGAATAAACACACTTGCAAGGAGAGAAAGACACTGCCAACAGTGCTCTTCATACCACTCAGTTTATACACTTCTGTCTAGACTGTATTTTATACAGAGCTACCTCCATGAGCTCCTCTTCCCATCAGCAGAGTCATCCTTCGTGTCTAAAATATTAACAACATGAAAATTCATTCTTTGCAGACTTCAGAGGGTGTCTTGATTCTTCTCGTTAGGTCTCTAGCCACTTGAGATGAAATCAAACCTGGCACATAATCAGCAGCAGTTTCACTAAGCATGTCAGCATAGAAGGCATCACACTGAGCTAACCAAAGCTGCAAGGCAACGCAGCTGGCACAGAAAGGCCCACAACTCACTGGAATGGGAATTAACAGCAAAGAAAAGGAAGTTTGGAGGATACACAGTCATTGGTATCAGGAATAAAAATGCACATTTTGGGGATTTTTCAATCCAGGAACAAAAAAAAAAATGACTTAAAAGACAATTGGTGATGAGCTCTGGAGTGGCAGAGGGTCGGGTACCAGCTCAGTGCAGAACATCACACGTGCCAACATGAAGGCAGTCCAGCCAGTCTCTTTGCAAACTGTGTGACCTGAGAGTCAGCATCTCACACTGCTCGACCAAGAGGCAATTAAGGAAGAACGAAGGCCGTTTCCTCTTCAATACTCATCTCTTATAAAAGTCACTCCCTGGATCCATGAACAATCAGGCTGCTGTATTAAAGTCAGTCCGTTCTGACTGCTGCATCTGTTCTCCATGTTATGGTGCCAACACGGGAAAGAACAGAGGAGGATAAAGAAGAGGGTCTTCATAACAGCTCTGAGATGGCACCACCTGCTAAAGAGATCAAAGACAGGTGAAAAATAAATCATCTGACTCCGACAGGTTCTGAAATCAATGAAAAAAAACTGAAAGCCTTTGAGAATACGATTCTCTACATTCCTTCCAGAATGAGATGCAACCAACGAGGCACCGTCTACCACAAATTAAGAACCCTGTATCTGAGACCACAGGCACAGATGAGGCAGTTCATGGTCTCTGAGCTTTTACCCCACAAGCACACTTACCTGCTGGAAAGATGCACCGACCCCAAAACCTCAAAGCAGAAGCATAACAGAAAGGAACAAGTTCCTCCTACACTGAAGTCAAACAAGACTGCTGCATGGCTTTGCTCTAAAAACTGTACAACAGATCAAGCTTCCCAGTTTGTTTTTACTGAAAGCCAATTTTGACACAGCTGCTTTGACAACAAGATATTGGCTGCCAGGCCCCAGCCAAGCAGCTCCCAAACATCCACTGTAACAGCAAATCAGCCTGCAGCTCCCAGAGAATAAATGCTTGTGGAGAGGCTGTGTGAGTGAGTGATGGGCTCCTGCAGGAAGCAGCAGCACGTGGAACGAGCAGAGCTAACAGCTTCATGCAAGAGAGACAGGAGTGTGCCCAGCTCCAGCAGTGCAGGCAGGAGGCCGTTGCATTGCAAGTGGGTTGGCCCCCAGGGAGAACTGGCTGTTCAAAATAGACATTGCAAGTCATAAAGAGAAGACAAGAGAGACATGGATTTCATGGACTAGAAGACTGTTGTTGAGTGCTGGGAGCCAAGGGGCAGCTCCTCCTGTGGGCAGTCTGTGACTCACTGTGGGACTCACACAGACATTTCCAGCACTAAGCGGTGGGATCTGCTGCATGGATCTGGTAGATCCTTTTAAATCAGCAGCACTGTGTAAGGGAGCTCAATAACTGAGACAGGACTCCATCCATGCAATGTTATTTGCCTCTAGCTCAATCGAGCTGAATACCAGCATGGTGGCAGAACACCCTTACATGCTTGTGTAAAAATACATTTGAAAAAGCTCTACTACCTCCAATGGGCAAAGAAAGCAGAGAATTTGGGGTCTAAACTCAACCCCAATTCTGTCTTCACACTGCCCAAAAACCCAGTGCTGAACTCACTGATTGGGTTATGAACATCTCAAGCTGAGCACAATTAGCAAATTAAATTCTACAGTGATCTCATAAAAGCAAGTCAGACTGTAACAGCTGCATAGGAAGTGATAAGCAAAAACACAGGGGGTAACACAGGACCAGCAGTGAGGGAAGGAGGAGGGAAAAACAAAAAAAAACCAACAATTCTGTGCAGTCTAAAATCCACAGCACTGCTATGTTCAAAGAAATGCAAAACTTGAGATCTCAGTTACATCACATCTTTGAATCCGTTTCTGTATCGACCACAGGCCCTTTCTTACAGTGAAAAAAAAACCCAAACAGAATGCACATCATTTAATCCAAACATGTACTTCCTTTACTACACTTGAATGAGCATTTCCCAAATAAGCTCGAGTAGTAAATGAGACAGATGGGAAACACTGCCACCAGCTGAGAGCCAGTCCCTGTCTGAGATTCAAAGTCTGGGCCCTAACAAAGGTGACAGCAACAGTCCTGTTCTGGTAAGCAACCGACAAAGCGTGGTCATAAAGCAAAGAACACAAAATGATCCAACAAAATCTGTCTTCTTTTACAGCAATTGCACTTCTTGGAATTCCACTCAGGCTGCTCCACAGCCAGGATTAAAGAATTCAGCTCCTGAATTTCATCCCAGGCCCCAGTTGTCAAACAGACTGTAAGAAACGCTTCATTTCAACCAGTGCCATCCCTACTGAAACCCAACGTGCTCCTCGTATGCAACAAGGCATGCAGGTATCGCTTTTGTTACAAATAACTAAAAGCCCTTCCACTTGGAAAACAAATACAGAAACATCTGCCTATCCTTGACAGCAGTGACATCAGTGGCATCCAGCGAGCAAGGGCCATGTGGGAAGATAAAGTGCTACGACTCTGCAAGGCCACCAAGCAAGCAACGACGCTCCCAGTGGGTCCTTACCTGTCAAAGGCTGTCCCAGCTCCGCCTGCACTTTACCCTTCGCTGCTCCTTCCAGAGGTAAAGCACCTCTGTCCCCTTTGTAGAGTTTCGGTTTAAATGGAGAATCTTTGTCTTTACCTTTTGATCCTTTAGGCCTGCCTGCTTGCTTCTTCTTGGATTTACCATCTCCCTTCACACCCAGCAGCGGATGGACTTCTGCAGGAAAAAACAAGGTGTTAGCAGGCTGAGTTATCCCTTAGGGTGCTTACATGAGGTGTGCAATGCAAAATTACAGCTTTGGGATGTCTGCCCTCATTTCTAGCCTGCAAAACACCAGCAAACTTTGCCATTAGTATCTGTTATAATTATTAACTTCATAGGAAAGAGTGAGCTTCTGGACTTCTTGTCTTTGGACTGAGCAAAGCTAAAAAAAACCATCCCAAATACAGAACTGGCGCTGAATCAATGGCAGCTTCTACACACCGTCATTAGGTACTCCTTGTAGCTCTATGTTGGTGGTTTTGGGCTTCTTCTTTGGTGCCTGAGGTCCATCAGAGGACGACTGCCTCTTCTTCTCAGATCCCATCCCCTCATCAGTTAAGGAACTCTGAACAGCATCAGGTGGAGGCCCATAGGGGTTTTCTTCCGGATCCTCTACTTCAGGAGCAATGGGTAAGTAAAGCAGAGCCTTGGAGTCCTCCAGTTCTTCATCACTGTAAAACAAACAGTTATGATTTCTTGCAAAACTGGGAGTCTTTAATATCTTGTTTCTTTTCATTTATAAACCCTGAGCCTATTTCTCTGCCAATGGTTTTTCACACAAGTAACTCTTTCTACCTGCTACAGCAGAGACACAAAAAACCTAAGAGTACAGAGGGAGCTGCTTTGGGGGCAATGTCAGTGATGTGTTTCGTATTCACACTTTAAACAAAGTTATTCTTTTACCTGCTACAAAAGGCAGCGATGGGATCCACACTGGTTACATCCACTTCTTCATCTTCTGCAGCATCAGCACCTGAGAAGCAGGGAGAAAGGAAGAATTA